CCCCCTTTTTTTTTTTTTTTTTTTTTTTTTTTTGCGACAGGGTCTCTGTAACTCACCAGGTTGCCCATCTGGCCTCAGACTTGCAGTCCTCCTGCCTCAGATCCTGAGTAGCTAGAATGACAGGTGTGTGCCCCCACGCCCAGCTCTTCATACAGCTCTATAGGGAAGAGAGTGAGTAGCTCTCCTGGGCTATTGTAGAGGGTCCACAACACAAAAGTGGTCAAGCACTGTGGCTCTTGAGCGGTCGCCTCTAGATCCAGGATTGCAGACTCCAGCTCCTTTTCCCCTGCCATCTGTCAGCCTTCACCACCTTGTTGCATCCATCACCAAGAAATGCTGTGCTTGAGTACATTAGGTCACCTGAGAACAGGTGTGAGAGAAGGCCTAAGGATCTAGCATTCACAAGGCCCTGGGGGGTTCCATCCCCAGTAGCACAAAAAAGAAGAAAGAGCTGTGAGAAGAAAGCCAGAATGCACAGGAAGGAAGTGGATGCTTTGGGCACAGCCAGCCAGGTACTCCCAGAGCCAGCACCTTCCAGGAAAGAAAACCAGAGGGTTTAATTGCTAAACATAAAACTTTATTACATTACTAGTTGTGTCCCTTTGTGTGATATATTTAGGAGCAAGTACTCAACAGAGAAATCATAATTATACCTTGGGCTGATGTAGTTTCCACTTCCACCCAATACTGACCCCGTCCTCTCCCCACTCCAGCTTGAGGCACTTGTATTACAAAGAAGGCAGTGGCTGGCTGGGGAGATGGGGCTGGAGTTGAAAACCCCCCATCCCTGAGTTCAGGCCAGACTCAGACATTGTCACTTCCTGCACAGGACCCTTCTTGGGTTGGCAGAAAGAAAGGACACAAGTTTTCTTAGACTTCAGTATTTCTCAGATCAGCTGGGAGACCTTAAAACATTCTCCTTGCCTCCAGTCCATCTCCTCCACCTTGCTCCTCTCCACACCCATGAGCTTACAAAACACTCCATTTCCTAACCATTGCTCCTCACTTTCTGCTCTGAGCACCTAAGCAGAGATAGCAAAAGCTTCTGACCAGCAATCAGAAGCCCCTAGGGAGGCCCCAAGAGCTTTGGAGAATGGCCCAGGTGGCTCTGCTGGCCTGCTGTGTACCAACCAGGCCTGCAGGAAGCCCAGGGATGCTCTGCTGGGCTGGCCCCTGCACTTTATATGCTTATTCTTCCTCCCTTAGCCATACCCAGATAAACACCATATACATGTTACTGGAACAGATAGGTTGGAGTGGGGAGAACTCTTCTATCTTCCTGACTAAAAGGTGCCAAGCCCAAGGAATATGGGGATAATGGCCTCTGAGTCCAGGAACTGGGGACAAGCTATCTGGCTCTGTTGGCTGCATTCAAGAGGGAAACAGCTCGAGTTCCCTAGCCTAGAAGCCAGTGACAAGGTGGGAAGGGAAGTGCTTCACAGTGAAGCCCTTCTGCCATTCACATTCCCTTTCAGCTAAAGACCAGGCTCTTTTCACACATCACACCCCAAGATTTTGGTGCCATGCCATGGGTGGGGAGGGGAGATATATCTTTAGGCTAGTCCCTGTCAGGCCCACCAAGGGCAAGAGTTCTCCTCAGGTCCAGCAGGTTCCCACAAGAGCCCACCCATCCTCATGACTAAAGGAAACTGGGCATATAACTTGAGGGGAAGAAAAAGGGTGTTGGGCCCAGTCCTCTGGAGAAGGGAGTGCCCAGGATGAGTGGAACAGGGGTGCTCCTCAGTTGCGATCCCCAACCAGCTGCAACACAAAGGTGAAGATGTACACAATGTCTGTGTAGATCTGCAGGGCACCTGTGATGTAGTCTTCAGGACTGATGGTGTGCTTCCGGTTCCCCAGGACAAGCTGTGTGTCATAAGCCAGAAACTGCAGGGACAAGGAAGCCAAATATAAGAACCCAAGGGCTTAGTGGCCCGGGGTTGTCCTGGGAGCCTGTGTGCCATGCAGCATGTTTAGGGGACTTGTTAATTAAAAACATAACATGGCCTCTTTTCACATCCCTGAGCCTGCCACAGTGTCATCTCTAAAGGGCCTGCTGAGCCTTCTAACAGCTGGCAGTGTGAATGAGACAGAGGGAATGCTCAGAAAATTACTGGAACCTCTTGACAGGAGAGAGGAAAGACAACCTATGGCCCATTCTCAAGTCCCAAGCCACCTAAATTCAGTTTCCACTTCCCTCCATCCCTTCCTAGAGCCAGGTGGGGACTTACCAGGGTGAAACAAATGGCCCCAATAGCAGCATAGACCATGTGAAGCCAGTAAATCTGAGAGAAAGGGGAACAGAGGATGACATTAGAAATCTGAGCAAAGCACATCTGGGACAGGCCCTTAAGACCCAGCTAACCCCTGGGATTTGGGCATCGGAGGAGGCAGATCCAGGAAGCCAGCTCTCTGGGATCCTTATCATGCCTTTCTAGAGCCCGGAAAGAAGGAAGAATGGTGATATACTTGGCAGTGGAAGCAGAGGCCATCCCTACAGCGGCCTGTAACACCAGTCACAGCATCTTTTTGCCAAACCAATCTCTAGAGCTAGTCAAGGTGTTTTCTAGAAAAAAGGTGGCAGTCAAGTGACAGCTCTGGAGGGCAGACCCAGCATGCATGGCTGATGGGCACCATGGTGGGTACTCAGTAGAACACATGCAGCCAGATTCTGGGCTTCTGCAGCCTATCCTAGATGGACGGATTGAAGAACAGCTGCGAGGGAAGCATTGCAGCTTCCCTGATGAGCATCAGAATTGGGGAACAACCCTGTTGACACTCCTCCATGTGCCTGTTTATGGAAGGGCAGAGCCAGCCCATGGTCAGACGGACAGTTGCTCTCCGTTCTCATCTTTCTCCCAACAGCACTGTCTGTCCTCCCTGGCCTGGGAACCCATGTTCTCCCTCAGCTGCTAGAATCAAAGACAGTGACCCCCCCCCAGTCTCTTCTACCCAGGCCTATTTTCTCTGACCAGGGTCCTCTCCTAGAACCTAGTCTTAACTATTAGACCTAATCCCCATAGGAACTCAGCAACACTGCCCAGGTGTCATGGCTTCCAGGGCCATTTGTCTCTAAAGAGAGACTGATTATACCCTAACCCCAAAATATAACACTTCCATGTTGGTTCCTTTGCTACCCAGTGGGCAGATTCTGGAAGTCAGAGACCCTGAGGCCCAAGAGGGGCTTCACCAACCCAACCCGTCACAGGACACTCACATATTTGAAACACAGCACAATGCTAGTGACAATCCCAGTCACCATCAGCACAATTCCCAGGACACAGAAGAGGCCTGCACATGAGGTGAAGTCCACCTGCCAGGAAGGGAGAAAGGGTACTTGTCAGGTGACTGTCACAGCCAGCAGCCCAGCCAGACTGGCCCCGCCCCTCTTCCAGGGAGCCCTGGTGCTGTGGGCATGGGAGTGGCCAAGACATGCCAAGTACAGACAAGAAGCAGATCTGCGGGTGCAGATAGGAGCAGAAAGGGACTAGGGTCTCTAAAGAAAATCCCTGGCTATCAGGGTCTAGACCTTCCCAGGCCTGCTCATGTGCCAAACCCAAAGGGCCAGTGAGGAAAGGTGGCTGAGAAAGGGCCCTCCATGCCCTCACCTTGGTCTGAAAGCAGAAGATGGTGACGGAAATGGACACCACAGCAGTGATGATCATTGCGATGATGACGGCTTTGGTTTCATATGTACTGGGAGGTGGAAAGAATTAAGAGGCCAGAGATATAAGCCATATAAAAATGACTTCAAACCCACTGCCTCCAGAACAACCCTGCCCAGAATCCTCCTGTGCGGATTACTGCCAGCTCGAGGACAGCCCGTCCCCCATAATAACACTACCCAGAAATATGAGTTGTCCTTGAACATACCTGGAAATGGTGCCTGTCATGAAGCCCAGAGCCAGAGTCTAGGGAAGAACAGAAATGAGGAAAACATTCAAGAGCAGTAGAGGCTGGAGCATGGCACCGTGATAAGAGTACTTGCCCACCACGTTCCTGGCCCTTGGTTCAATTCTCAGCACCACAAAAAAAGCAGGGGTGGGGGGGGAATGGAAAGGGAAGGAACAAAGGAAGCTCTAGCTCTTGGGGAAAAGCCACAGTGGCCTGCCATGGCTGGGGAGAAACATGACTAAGTTGGAAAGAGGCAGGCAGGCAGGGTGAAGTGGGGAGACAGCCAGGGACATTCTTCCACAGTGGTGTCCCCAGCCCTTCCTAGGACAGCCCTCTTGCTGCCCCTCCACACTTACAAAGATGGTCAGCAGGATGATGTTCCAGGGGAACCTGCGTCTGAGAAGAGAGAAACCCTGGTTAGGTGCCTGGGTTAGCAAGTCAGAGAGGCCCCTTCAGCTGGAGGAGATGCCTGGCTCCTGTGCCCTGCATCAGCCCTGCCTTGGTGCTCACATGGCTGTGGTTCCTGCTCAGGTGTTTGTTTACACAGGAGCAGTGTGGGGCAGCGGGGCAGACCTCTGCTGCAGGGTCAAGAGCAGGACTTGTTTACATCTCTAACACTGAGTACCTCTGGAACTATGAGAAAGTTGCCCAGGGTCTCTGAGCCTTGAGCTCTTACTACCTGGTTTTCCTTCTCCCCCATCCCACCCCCACTCCCACCCCGTTTTTCATTCATTTCCTTCCTCACAACTTCTCTTTTTCTCATTCCTATTTGTTACATGGTTAAAATGCTGCTGTCCTGCAGAGTTGCTGTGAGAATGCTGGCTAGATAGATCCTACACACAGTACTTTGCACACACCTGGACAGCAGCCACCCTTATCCCTGTCATCATCAGCACCAGTATATATATACTATAGCAGTATATATTGTACCAGTGATCGAAATCAGGGCCCTTGCTCTTGCGAGGTGGCAGCGGAACCACTGAGCCAAATTCCCAGCCCAGCACCAGCGTATTTTTGGTGTTTTGAGACAGCATCTCAATGTGTGGTTCAGGTTAGTCTTGAACTCAACTGTGTAGCCCAGGCTGGCCTTGAATTCACAGCAATCCTACTGCCTCAGCCTCCCAAGTGCTGGGATTACAGGTGTGCACCACCACCCTGGCCTGGTTTTTAAGATAGGTTTTTTGTTTTTGCTTTTAAGATAAACTAGCCTTGAACTACCTATATAGCCCAGACTGGTCTCAAACATATAGTCCTCCTGCCTCACCACTATTTCTCATCAGTCTCCACTTAACTGCTATAAAGAATCCCTTTGCCTACCAACACACTTGGCCCCTGTCCCATCCGGTGCCCTCCTCATTGTCTAGGTCGCTGGGACTCACCTGGGTCCCTGGCAGCAGGCAAGGATCAGGTAGGTGACGATGAAGAAAACACTGGGCAGAAAGAGATGGGACATAGTCTCCAGGCCCACAGCTGCCCTCAGCCCCTGCCGAGCCCAGCAGGGTGGCACTCACCAGGCCTGGGGAGGCCCAGACAGCTGTCTGGCAGTCTGGGCAAGCTACTCAGTAGGAATCAAGGACAAGATCGCCCCCAGCTAGGGGCACTGAGAAGATCAGCCACACGGGTTTAAGCCAAGAGCTTGAGTCTAATGATCCACCATTGCCACCCACCCCCCAGTGTGTCCTGTGACCCTCTTATCTCTCTTGTCACAGGTAGCCTAGGAGACTGGCGTTGGACCCTGGAAAGACGACTTTTGAAAAGCATTTGGGTTTGGGGTTTTTTTTGGGGGGATGGTTTGAAATGGTCTCACTGTGTAGTTCAGGCTGGCCTCAAACTCAAAGCAATCCTCCTGCCTCAGCCTCCCAGGATTACAGGCATGTGCCACCAGACCTGGCCTCAAAAAGCATTTTGATCCCCACCCTGAATATAGGTAGTTAAGTGGTATCTGAAACTGCCAACCCCGCTTCCCCTTCTCGCCTGAGCAGAGAAGGCCACACACTCACTAAGACACGTAGTACACAGCTGAGTTTTTCCTCACAAATTCACCAACTGGCTTCCTGTGGAGTAGGGAGGAAAAGAGAGAGTCAACCTGGGCCCCTCTGCCTCCTTGCCAAGGCCCAGCCCAGCCGGTGGCCCAGGCCAAGACTCACACAAAGGTGAAGATAGCGATGATGGCCACTGTGATGAGCAGCTGGACGGAGATGATGCTATAAACCTGGAACACAGATGGCCAGGGAGAGGTCACCACCCACGCCCTGGCCTCTCCCCAGAAGCAGCAGCCAGGCCTCAGGACCAAGGCGCCCAGAACGCCATGGGACCCTTTCCTCACCCGTGGTACAAGGGGACGTGTTAAGCCCTCAAAGAGACCCTCCCACTGCAGCCTGGCCGAGTGAGCCAGTGAAGGGCCAGGCTCACATGCTATCTGCACTTCATCCTCTGCCCCCTCCCTACTCCTCGGCATCTCCCCTTTGGAGCACCACCTCAGTTTACTGCCCCTGTGCTACCAGCTCCACCCTTGCAGCAGTTCAAAGTGACTCCATGCTGTGCATCTGTCTGGCCCTAGCAGGGAGCTACACCGACAGAAGACAGGGAGGGTGGGCTAGGAGCAAGTACGACCGCTTCAGCTCAAGGATGCCTACAGTCTAACAGGAGAAGGACGTCTGGGGAAGGCAGAACACTTGGGCAGAGCCCCAGCAGATTTTCCCAGATTGATTCTGCCCTCCCAAAACAAGGTCAAGGGTGAAAGGGATGCAGGTCTGTTCCTGGAGCTGACTCAGCCCATCCTCCACCATTCCCACAGCCTGAGGGCCCAGATCCAACAGCTCCCAGCCTCCCAGCCCTGATCTTACCTTGCGAATGAAGGTATGTCGGACTTTCCGGTCATCCCAGTCTCCAGGCCCAAAGCTGTCACTCACTGCTCTCTCCTCCCCATCATAGCCCTGGCCTGGGCCTAGGGACAGATCACATAGGACCAAGTGAGGACCTGGAACATGTGGCCTCAATTCCAAAGTATCTCCAATGCTATCCTAAACAAAGGCTCAGTCTGGGTAGTGGCCCATGCTTGTAATCCCAACTCCTCAGGAAGCTGAGGCAGGAGGATTGCAAGTTCAAGTCCAGGCTGGAAAACTTAGCAAGACCCTGTCTCACAAATTTAAATGGGCTGGGTTTCTAGCTCAGTGGCAGACATGAGGCCCTGGGTTCAATCCTTAGTGCAGATAAATAAATGTATAAATCAAAGGTCTAGCCAAAAGACAAGTGTCATGACATAATTGCTCCCCCAAGCCGAGGTCCTCCATGTGCCCTCATATGACACAGGCTGGCATGGCATGAGGGTACTTGCATGACAGCCACTCCATCAACACGTATCTCTTGAGGGCTGTCTGCCATGCCATCGGGTGGAGAGGTGGTGTCTTCATCAGGGAGGAAGTGGGGCTGGCAGTGGCCTCAGGGATGGAAGGCAGAAAGAAGCAGGGTAGGACTGCTCAGGACATAGTGCAGGTGAGGCTCAGGAAAACAGATCTGTCAAGGGCATGTGCGACTCGTGTGATCTGCATCAGAGCACATGTGCCAGGACTCCAGGGACCACAGAGCCAGCCTCCAAACATTCCTGGGAGTGCTGTCTAGACCACCCACAAGGGCCTCGGGTGGAGCTCAGGAGAGAACATGCCAGGAATACAGGAAGCTCTACATCCTCAGCACCAAAAAAATTAGAAATGGAAAATCCTTCCAGGAAGAGGGTCACTGTACACCAACTGTATCTGTTTCTGACCTGCTATGAATGTTTACCAAAGGTGGCTCCAAAGGACTTTGGGATGTTTGCAAAAATCAGGCTTTACCTGAAGGATAAGGATTTGTCAGCCCCAAGGATTTTTTTTTTTTTTTTCTTTTGAGACAAGGTCTCACTATGTTCAGGCTAACTCATAGTGATCCTCCTGAGTGCTAGGATCACAGGTGTGCGATATCACGCCCAGTGCCCAAAGATATTATTTTTTTTAAAGAAAAGCACTTAGGGTTGCACAGGCAGTTCCTAAAGAATGCATGGCACCTGGGTGGGGTGGCAGCAGCCTCTCTGGGAAACAGAAAGGGTCCTTTAGGTAACTGCTTGCCCCTGTTCACCCAGCACCCTTCTCTGGTGTGTAAGTTCTGGTACATGTCTTATGGACTCCAACCCTTGCTGAATAAAGGGGCTAGCAACTGGCTGGGGGTGGGGGGATGACAGAAGCCAAGGGACCGAGGAGGGAGGTAAGGAAGACACGAGATCTAAACAGAGAAGAAAAGATTAAAGGGGAGGTTAAAGAGAAAAGGGAAGGAAAGGAAGTGGGCTCATATGCCCCAGGGCTGCTTCCTTCCTCCCACCCATCCACCCACCCACCATCTACCCTTCCAGAACTCACCATAGTTCATGGGCATCGGGTGGATTGGGGGCATAGGCTGTGGGTAGCCAGCAGGGTGACCATAGCCAGGTTGTGGGTAGGCAGGGTAAGCAGGGTAGCCGCCTGGCAGCACAGATGGCTGCCCATAGCCCCCAGGGGGTGGAGGACCAGGGTATAGGGGATTGTGGTCCTCATAGGGAGGGGGGGCGGTGGGGTTGGACATGACAGTTCAAGGGCTGAGGGGGACCCCAGCTGTTGGCACCTGAAAGAGAAGAAAAGCAGTCATGAGTGCCTGCCTTGGCTCACTCAGCCCCCCTTCCAGGCTGTCTCCGTGTACGTGGATGGGAGACCCTCCCTCCCAGTTTTTCTGTAGTTCACTTATGTCACCTGCTGCCGCAGGCATGGCCCCTGGCCCTCCTGCCCTCTCACCAGCTCAGGGCCCTCATTTCCCTGGCTGTAGGAAAGATTTGTTTGGCACTCAGTTGCTGCTGAGCATCAGTTGTATGACAGACACGGAACAGGGCAGTGAGACGCTCCCAGTGTCGGTAGCTTAACAGCAGAGCCAGTAAGAAGCTGGATGGCCCTGGCACAGCCTCCTGGTGAGTCACAGTGCCAGCTGGGACCCTCTGGAGGAGGGGTCAGCCCAGCCCCCAAGGCAGCTGGCTGGAGCTGCAGGACTGAGAGCTGGAGCTGGGGCGGAGCCAAGGCTGAGAGCAGGGAGGAGGAGGAAAACAAGCCACCCAGGGCCAGCGCTGCAGGGAGGCAGGCGGAGTCAGGAGCTGCAAGGCCACATGGGGCAGGCCTGAGACTGGACTTTCTGGTTCCCTTAAAGAGCAGCTGTGGTACATCCCATGTGGTATCGTGTGTGACTGCTCTTTTACTCTTTTCACTGGCCTTCTGGGGAGTGGAGAATGAGCACAGGATCCCCATACAACTGGGAAGGGGAGAAGCGTTTTGAACCCAGATCTCTGGAGTCTTGGTGAATTTTACCCAAGAACAGTGACTCATGGGGAAGAGAGCAAGCTGAGAGGCCCTGCAAGTAGAAGGGACCTCTGGGTAACCCCAGTTCTGAATGCCACATTCAGATGAGAGAATCAACTCAGAACAGTGAAGTGATTCCTAGGGTCACACAACTAGCAGGTTAGTGGCATAACCAGAATGGAGCCCTCCAGGATCCTGCTACCTGTCCTTTACGTTACTCTGAGCCTTTATGTATCTCTGCTTCTCAATAACATCCCTCAGGCCTGGTGTTTCCTTCTAAGGTGACAGAGATGAGAAGAGCTAAGGAAGAGGCCTTTGTGTAGGGCCATGTCATGCCCTGCCAGCGTCAGGCCCAGTCCCTGTCTAGAGTGTCACCCCAAGGTGCAGACTTGAGCACCCCACAGCAGGACACCCAAGACTCAGGTGGCTACCCTCACAGCCTCTGCTGGAAGGAGGAGAGCCCCAGCTGCTTTGTAGGGCACCCTGCACAGGCCCGGGATGGAATAAAGACTGCCTTATGTCTTCTCTCTGAGGACAACTGAGCTAATTCAGAGGGGAAGTTGGCCTGGATCAAATAGCAGGCCAGGTCCCTGAATAAGTTAGTTGAGGAAAGCTGCTTTCCATGTCCCCAGAGTAGAAAGGACAGAAGCAGAGCAAGAATGTGTCAAGTCAGAAAGAAGAAAGCCCCGCCCAACCCTGAAGGCTGAGGGGCAAAGCAGGGCAGCAGGGTGCTGTGAGCTAGGGCATGGTGTTAATCACTGCTCTCAGAACCTTCTCTGGGTAGGTAGAATGTGTGAACCCCTTTAATAGGATAAAGGAAAGAAAGAGAAACCCCCCTCGCCCCAGGAGTGAGAGGCTCCTTCTCCCTAAGCTTTCCACTCCCTACATGGAGGAAGGAGTGCAGGACAGGTTATCTTTGAGTAGGCATGTTTGTCACTATGGCCATCACCAGGCAGCCTCTGACCCACCATGTGGGTGGTGACACACTTGACTGCCTGAAAAGGCTGCAAGACACACTGGCTGGGAAGGCCCTGTGATCAGAAGCCACCAAGCCATGATGTCACCCTTGCCTGATCCTTTATCTCTGAAATGAGGTGGGGTGTGCCGGGTGATCTCTGAGCTCACCACCCACCCTACCAGCGGACTGTGACAGCCTGGGAGACAGGCTGCAAAGGCCTTCCCTTTGCCAGCAGACAGCTAGCTGCCCAAGGGGCTGCGGGTGCACAGGGTGAATTATGACTCAGAGAGGAAGGGCCACCTCCAGTGGGCCTCCGGAGTCTGGTTCAGTTTAGCAGGCTGCTGACTCATAGAGCGCTGTACTCCATCGCCCCGCCCTGTCATGCTTCTGGTTTCAGAGGACTCAGGCAGTAGACCTACCTGCTGGGACACAGCAGGTCCAAGTCTAGCTGTCTTAAGCCTCAGCTACCGGCCTGTCCACACCAGAGACTACCACTGAGCCCTTCACCTTGCTATGCCTTAGGTTCTTCAAATGGAATATGGGTTTAACACTAACAGGCCTATAATCCCATCCCTCGGGAGGCTGAGGCAGGAGGATTACTGCAAGTTCAAGGCCAGCCAAGGATACATAGTGAGTTCAAGGCCAGCCTGGACTGCAAACCCAAAACACTAGTAACAGTAGTTCCCAGAAAGTTGCTGTAAAAACGAAGGTGGAGCCAGGTGTGTTGGCACAAACTTGTAATCCTAGCACTGTAGGAGGCTAAGGCAGGCGAAAAAAACTGAGCCCAGCTTTGGCAACTTAGTGACTTAGCAAAATTATCTCAAAATAAAAACAAAACAAAACAAAAAAGGACTGGGGATATAGCTCAGTTTGAGGACAGAGTTCAATCTCTAGTACCACCAAAAATAACAATAATAATTCCCATTATTCTGAGCCAGGAGGATAGAAAGTTCTAGCCCAGGCTGGACAACTTAGTAACTTAGTGAGTCCCTGCCTCACAATTTAAGAAAAAAGCTGGATGTGGTGGTGCACACTTGTGATCCCGGCACTTGGGAGACTGAGGCAAGAGGATCACCATGAGTTTGAGGCCAGCCTAAACTATACAGCAATACCTTGTCTCAAAAAAAAAAAAAAAAAAAAAAAAATGGACAGAAGACTAGGGATGTATCTCATGGCAAAGATCCTGGGTTCAATTTCCAGTACTGCAAATAAGACAGTAATTATGAATATAAAAAAGAAAAGAACTGGGTACCAGGCATCGTGATGCATGCCTGTAATCCCAGCACTCTGGAAGGCTGAGGCAAGAAGATCACCAGTTTGAAGCCAGCCTGGACCACATGTCTCAAAACAAAAAATTTAAAAAAAAAAAAAAAAAAAAAGCAAGCAGGTCAGGCATTTAGCTCAGCGGTTTGGTGGCCTGCCTTGCAAACGCAAGGACCCGAATTCAATCCCTGGTACCAAAAAAAAAGCTAGGATGTAGTTCAGTGGTAGAGCCTTGTCTAGCATGTGTGAACCCCTGGTTCTCATCTCTAATATGACAAAAGAAGAAAAAGGAAAAAATTAAGAGAAAACACACACAGAGCTCTTAGAATGATGCCTGACCCCAGATAAACAGATTTTTAAGTATGGATTATTTTCAGTTATTATTTCATGAACTCCTTACAGGGTGAATTCTGTTGTTTTTATCCATTTACAAATGAAGATATTGTGGCTTAGATGAATGAAGTCACTTGGCCAAGGTGACCTTGCTAGAGTGAGATGAAGTCAAGCCTTTGGCCCAGGACTGCCCAGAGCCACACAGAGTCCCTCGGGAGCCCCCCATGTACACAGCCCCTATCCAAACTGTTCTTTCCTCCTCCCATGGCTTCCTGCCTAAGAGCTTCTCAGGACAGGAAGTTTACACAGGACACAGACACTCAAACAGTCAGCCCTCCACAGTGGCAGCAGCCCGAGGCAAAGCTGACCCAGAGACAGACTCAAAAGGTCAGCACTGAGGGGACGCTTGCTCAGCTCAGAAGGCGAGCCCGCCCTCATGTTTCTGAGCAGACAGCCACTGTGCAAGCAGTGACCTGTCTTTCACCATGGCTGTGAGGCCAAGAGGTGATGATCCTATCTATCTGGTGCAGAGCCCCAGGGGAGAATTAACTCCTGTTAGTCCAGTGTCAGTGGCAGCCTCTGCTGTACTCGCCTCCCCTGAGCTCGTGGCAAGGAGAGCACTGACCAGAAGGAGCCTTGGGGACCCAGGGCCGCTGGGGTTGGCAGCAGTCAGACAGAGAGGCAGGGTGGGGCTGGAGCCTAGGGCAGCACAGGTCCTGTGCATTCTGCTGGTAGCTGTTGGAAGACCTCAGTATCCCGGGGCTCAGATCTCCTGGGAGCCTGAAATGTTCCTCAGATACAGGAGGCCTTGCACTTCTACTTGAACAAACACCAGCGTCAGGGAGCCTGTTCGCCCTTCCTGTGTGCAGGCAGCTTTCGTCCTTAGAACATTCTTCACCCCACACTGCCTGCCATTGGCATATGCAGGCTCCACTGTCTTGGCAGTTACACATCCCAGTGTGCTGCTCCCTCTTGAGGCCCCATCCCCCTGCCGGAAGGAACTAGAGCATTCCTTTCCCTGACCAGTCATGGCAGCAGGAAAGTAGACTCTGGCCCCAAAGAGCAGGACTTGTTGGTGGCAGAGGCTTTCACAGTCAGAGCTGGGGAAGCATCTCCCCTCTTGGGTGCTCTCCCTGCCTGTGGGGTGACCTAGGCTCTGGCTTTCCCGAGGCATACAAAGAGTTAAAACCTGGAATCTGCAGGGGAGGCCCAAGCTACTGAGGTTACAGCCAGACAAGCAGAAAGGAGCAGCTGACTGGTCCAGGCAGCCTGCCCTCCTCCCTGCCAGGAATGGGTGCCCAGAGCAGAATGGAAAGAATAGCTCAGAGTGCACATCTCAGGAAGCCCCACCCAGCAGGCCAGCAGCAAGGCCTGGCCAGGTGCCCAGGTCTCCATGACCAGTTCCCCACCTTCCCCCAGGGAAGCACTCCCACTCTGGCACACAGTGAGCAGAGGAGTAAGAGATGCACCCGTGTCTGGGCGATTTTGGACCACGGGGCTGAGTCAACCACAATACCCTTCAGTTGGCCTAGCCTCTGGGATTAAGAGATGAAGTCAGGGAGTCTAAAAACTGAAATACTGGAGCTAGAATGGATGTCATGTAGTCATTTGACAAACCAGGAAACCTCAGAGCCTAGAAGTGCTGGTCCCTGCCCACATAGGCCCTCTTGGTCATGGCTTTGGAACTTCTCTTCCCAGCCCCGCCTACCATCTAGAACTCAGACTGTTGCAAGCACACAGCCCTGAGGAGGAGCCCAACAAGCCACCCATTCCGCCAGTTCTTTCAAGATCTCCGGTCACACTGACAGTCCCTTACTTCTCTCCCTTGGTGCCAAGCCCCACCTCCCAGCCTCGCCTCTAGCCAGGACAGCCTCTCTTCATATCCATGGAGACAGGGCTGGCGGCTGAGGGGCACATGTAAGGACCCAGACACCCTTATCTCTGAGGGCAGAACTGTGTCAGGACTGTAACCCCAGACCCCAGCGACATCAGTAGGCAGGGAATTCAGACGAAGAGGAAACTATTAACACAGCAGATGCCACCTCTGAAACACAGGCCCTACCCACTTCCTTTGGGTTTCAACTTTCCTGTCTTCAGTTCCTCTTCCAGGTTAGAGCACAGATGATTAACAATGGGCCGGAATGGAAGGGACCACTTGGAGTAATAAGTAACACCAGTACTTACGAAGCAACTAAGTCAGTAGCAACTAAGGTGCCCCTGGTTCTCACCAGAGATCCCATTCTGCCAATACGAAAACAGAAATACAGAGAAAATCAGATCTAAAGCCCCACAGCAGGCAACCAGCAGAGATGGGTTTGAACCCAGAGCTGCTGTCTGACTCTAAAGTGCAAACCCTGCACCTTTCCGCCTGGCTGCAGAGAGCTCCAGGGTAAAGATCACAACTGGCAGAGAGGAGCTGAGCAAGTGTTGTGTTGATACCAGTCCCTTTTCCCAGTGAAAATTCATCTGATACCTGAGCCCAGAGTTAGTTAGGAAACAGGGAGCTGATGCCCGCCCCGACTTTGGTGTTGACTCCAGAGTCGAAATACACCACTTCGTATCTCAGTTTTTACATCCCTGAGGTAAGTGTCCTGAGCCGAAAGAGCAGAGTCCACTCCAACTTTGCCAGTTCCTGACTGGCAATTGACACATCCCCAAGGAGGCTACACTGGGGGCAGTGTTCACATGCCCTGGTCTGGAGGACATCTACAGAGGCAGAGGCATGTGGCGTGTCCTGGGTATGTGGGTGGCCGTAACTCTTCTCCCAAACTGCCCCTATAATCCCCCGGCTAGCTCCCCCTGGGTGCTCACTCTCCCCAGAACCTGCAGAGACACTAGGAGAGAAAGTACTCAGTGCCAGATATGGTGGCATATGCTTGTAATCCCAGCACTTGGGAGGCTGAGGCAGGAGGATTGCCACAAGTTCAAGGCTAGGCTAAACTACATAGTGAGACATAGCCTCAAAAAAGAAGTGCCAGGGACGTAGTTCACTGTGAAGACTGTGGATTCAATCCTCAGTACCACAAATGGGGAAAAAAAGCACCCAAGGCTGGAATTAAGAGGCCTGGGCTCATTAAGTAGCTGTGGGAATCCAGGCAGATGGTCTCCCTAGTCTTAGGAGCAAAGACTCATTTATAGCAACTGGAGAGAGAGCAGAATCACCTGGCCAGGCATTTCCCGGAAGCCCTTAGTGGCCAGGTGTGGAAACAGTAACAATTCTATCTCTGTGAAAATTCACAAGTCCCAGAGGCATGTTAAGCCCCTGAGAGGCTTTGCCCTGTTCAAGGTAGTTTAACCCAGTATTCATCCAAACTTCTTCCAGGCACACCTGTTCATAGCCTGTAGCTGCCGATCCAGGCCACCTGTTTTACAAACAGACTCAACCCTGAGAAAAACCCATATCCTAACTCATTTCTTAAAATCCTGTATTTCTGCCGGGCATGGTGGTGCACGCCTGTAATCCCAGCATTCAGAAGGCTGAGGCAGGAGGAACACTGTGAGACCCACCTGGGCTACATAGTGAGTTCCAGGTCAGTCTCAACTACATAGTGAGACTCTGTCTCAAAAGAACAAAACAAAACAAGAAAACCTATATGTCTACCCAGTCCCCTTCTCAGAGCAGTCACAGTAAGAATGTGGCATGTGCTCTCCCAGAGAATCAGCTCAGTACCAGGAACCTCTCTGCAAGGTCCTCCCTCACCCCCACTTCTGCACAGCGGCCACTGTAACCTCTTATGATGGCACTGACTGCCATGACAAGGAGGAAATCTCCAGCCCGCCAAGAACTAAGAATCTGGTGTCCCCAAATGTCACCCATCTCATGGAAAAAGAACAGACGATTATACACAGGGAGGACTCAGTGTTATCCTCCTCCCCAACCAGTGTACTGAGTCCCTATGTACCAGCCGTTGTAGCCAGTGGAATTCTGGATATCATTTCTGCTTCAAAATAAGACCCTCACGCGCCGGGAATTTAGCTCACTGGTTCTGGCGCTTGCCTCGCAAGCACAAGAACCCGAGTTTGATCCCTGGTACCAAAAGAAAAAAAAACAAAATAAGACCCTCACCAGACGTGTGCAAATGTCTATAATCCTAACTTGGGAAGCCGAGACAGGAGGATCATCACAAGTGTGAGGGCAGCCTGGGCTGCAGAGTGAGTTCAAAGCCAACCTGTACTACATAGCAAGACCCTGTCTCAAAAAACAAACAAACAAGAAGATCCCAGCTTTTGGCCTACAATCCCAGAATCTTAGCAGTAGAAGATTCTATCAAGGTCAGTCTTTCCACAGCATTCCCAAGAGGATTGTGCAAAAAGCCCACGGCCATGGTTAGCCATGTTTGCAGAACTATCCAGAGACTCCTGTGAGCTTCCACCCTCTGGTCCTCCCAGTTTGGCACTCTGAAGACACACAGTAACTGCAATCTCTTTCTGGCTGGAGTTTCTGATCTTTGTGAAAGGCCCTGGACAAGAAGTTTTGGGATCGGAAGTGCTCTGAGATGGATGGCTTCTTCCTGAGGCTGCATTCCCAGGGAGGAGGCTACGCCCAGGTTGTGACATAAGATTCTCCCAGCGCTTACTCTATAACTCGTCATTACTCTCTGAAGTGCCCATTTTTACAAGCAAGGCACTGGGTCCTGGCATAAGAAGACAGGAAGTCAGGCCCTTGACGTACTGATCCCACCGCATTCTTCTGGACTATAAACTGAGACTCTGGGTCTTCATGATTAGTGGGTTAGAGAGAACAGGCAGGCGATGAGGAAGTAGGGCTCCCCCTTTGCCCCGGACAAAGTTGCCCTAGGAAGTGCCTGGCTCCTCTGCCACCACTGGCCAGGCCAGTAGTAAGATGAATATTTCACCAATGAGATGAATATTTCAGAGACCCAGAGAACTGGACACCTGGCAGACCTGTGACATCTGGCTCTCCCACTCCCTGGACCCTGGCCAGCTCTCCCTCCTTAATCCAAGTCCAGGGTGCTCAGGCTGACCCCCAACCCTGTGGATACCACCCACAGGCCACAGTGGAGTGTTGGGGATGGAGCCCACGGGAAAGATCTGTGGAAAGAAAACAAGGTCAGGGCCTGGCGTTCCTCCCCTCAGTCTTCCCCACTCGCTTTCCCTTTTCCCATTTCCCTGTTTTGTTGTTGCCCTGACTCAAGGAGGTCAGGAGAAGGAAAATACTTCCCCGTAGCTCCCGGATCCCAGCTCAGAGACCAGGGGATGGAAGCAGGACAGGCAGAGGGCAGAGCTCTGTATGGGACGGGGTGCCCACCTTCCCACGCCAAGGACCCAATCTCTGAGCTAAGATCCACCTCCCCCTACCGCTCTGACACTCATTCACCTGTCTACACCAAGACCTCCGGCGCCAGGGCAGGCTGGGCAACAGGGCAGGATCCGCTCCCTGTCCCCACCAGCTGAGGACCATAACAGCCCCCATGCCACTCAAAGGTCACTCGGGGACAGACGAGCCACTCAAGCCAATAGAGGGGGACACTCCCAGAACGTGGGCTGCGCACTGGTGCCACCAAGACGCTGCTTGGCTCCCACGGCTATCCAGGTGCCAAGCGCTCTCCCGAAGCACACAGGGAAAGCAAAACTCCAGCGGCCAGGACGAAAGATCTCCATTCTGGTGCCAGCCCTACGGGCCACGGGCTCCAAGAAAGTTTGGGCGCCTCGGGCCAGCGCAACCCCAGCCCTCAGTCCTCAGCTCCGTCGGCATCGGCCCCGAGACTTACCTGCGCCGCTCGCGAAGGTGCGTCCCAGCCTCCAGCTGCTACTAGTGCTGTCGGGACCGG